CCCCAAATATCCCAAGACCCTTAACCAATTGGAAAAGGGGGTGCACTCTTATTCATGGGCCCTTTCCCTTTATATTTGAACCCCTATGGACAGTCTCTCGAGTCGTTCCCTTTGGTTGCTTATATTATGATGCATGTACAATAATATTAGCATAATGGATTTTAATAGCCGTTAGATTAGTTTTAATCTAGACCACATTGTGAGGTGGTTCCTATTGGGTTCTTGTGGATATAATATATAATATAAGCCCCACTCTCACCTAGTCAGATGAAAACATGGAGGTATGGTTTGTGCTTTCACCAACAAACAACATAGGGCAGCCCTTTAGAGTCACGAGAGGAGAATACTTCTCTCTATAGGAGAAGCGCAAGTAATGCCACAGGTATCAGATGACAAGATCAAAAGATAAATTCCCAAACAGCTCAATATGGTAGAATCTAACACCCTTCTAGAAGGGGATGGATTGGTGGTATAATGGTGCTAGCAGTTACTAGAGGATTTGGATTGGGACCCTGTAGCATGGCAACGAGGTGGGTTTTTCTTGTACACAGTCAAAGAGGCATATAATGGGCTGTTGACATCTCATGAAGAGGTGAGAGAGGAAATATCAAAATTGTGGTAGAAGTGGATGGCACAAGGTGTGGATGCAAAGTAGATACTAGGAAACACATTAGACTTCTAGAAGCTCCCAATCCAGGAGAAGGCCAAAGTCACATCTTGGCTAGTGGCCAAAAGTGGTCTCCTAGTTGGCAACAATTTTGAGAGGAGGTGAAACAAAGGTGTAAAGAATGTGACAAGGTGGAAATAGTTAGTTATGCATTGTGGGAGTGTGATGTGGCTAAGGAGGTGTGGCTGTAGATCTTTACAGCAGTAAAGGAACTTGGGATCTCACAAGACTTCAAGGCTTGGTGTGGAGACGTCATACATTGGTTCGAGGGGGCTAGAGGCCTTGCCACAAGTCCCACATGAAGGTGCATCAGGTGTAGGGGACATCATGGCTGGGGGATTCATATGTGTTGGGATGAGACAAGGGTAGAGATAGGGGTCCTTGTGTGGGCCATATTAGATGGGCAGTCTAACGAGCGATGGGGGTCTAGTTTGTGTGGGAAGCATACAATTGAGCATATTTTGATGGGGTACAAGCCACGGTATTAGCAATTATGGCAGCATGGTGGAGGCTTACACTAGCAGCAGTATGACTACATCATGCCATCCTTAGAGACAAGAAGGAATGGCAAAAGGCATGCATTGGTGATTGCAATGAGATAGGAATTCATTGAAGATGCACACCCTAAACTTGATTATGCAGTCCGCATAGAATGTGGAGCTAGACTTGACATGATGAAGGAGACCCTAACTGCTCTAGAGTGTGAAGCAATAACATGTCTAATTTTTGTATTAACCCCTAAGGGGTATTGAGGAATGTATATATATGTTTTATCAATCCGGATCATTTGCTCCTATATATAAGCTAGGGTTTTAAGCTAATTGATAAATACATTTCTATAATCCACTTCCATATTCCATGCACTCACATAAGCAATTAGTATTTATAATATATGAACTCTTTTTTTTTGCTTCTCTGGGTCTACTAATAAGAAGAAATTCATCATCCACTGAGTGTTATATATTTGCCATCTTTGAGTAACACTGGAGATGAATTGGTAAATTTTTAATATATACAAACTTAGTTTTTATTAGTTCATATCAGTAAAATAACTAAGGTTTTCCAGAAAATACTGTCTATAGCATCAAGCTCATCCAAAGGTTAGCAAAAGAAATACAAATCTCCATCCTTAAATAAAGAGGAATTTGTCCTAAAAAGGCTGCTGAGAAGCATGAACTGGAGGGGATAGGATGAAAGGCTGATGTAAAAATGTATATAAATGGCTAAATATATTAGTTTAATTATAAACATGAGATTAATCTATGAACTTAAATAAAAGAATAAAGACGTGTTTAGGAAAGTTTATAAATTTTCTAATGTGGTCGACAGCAAGCTTGCTGCCTGTCCACGCCTCCTCAGGAGCAGCAACTGCCTTCGTGGGGAGGCGATTCTGAAGATAACAAGCCGTCGTCACAGCCTCTGCCCAAAAAGTTGCTGGCACCTTGTTGAATTGAAGCATGGCATTGGCTGCTTCAATCAGGGTTCGGTTTTTCCTCTCTGATACGCCGTTTTGTAGGGTGCGGTTTGCTTTCGCTGGATTCCATGCATTTGGAGAAACATGGAAAACTCCATTTGGTCGGCAAAAGTTTTAAACGTATCAAGAGCTTGCGACTTAGTTTTGAAGAAGAATGCAATAGTCTTGCGACTGAGATCATCAATAAACGTGATGAAAAATCGAAAACCGCCATATGAGAGCTGGTCCCCAAATATCACTATGAACAAGCTCAAGAATTTTCAGTGGTGCCAGGGGCTCCAGACTTGGGAAAACGTGTGTGAATCTGCTTCCCGAGTTGGCATCCCTCGCAAAAGGGTATGCGCGACTGGGTCACCAGCTCAGAATCGATGCCATCAACCAGCTGCTGCTTGCCTAATTGGGCAATCCGGTTTGGACTTGCGCGTGACTGTCGAGGCAGCAAAAGTGAGGAACTTGTGAGGGCGTTCTTCCACTTCTGCTGAAGGCCCATCCCAGGTGGTGGTTCAGCAATCCGGAGAAATCCCTGTACCAATGCTGCCAAATCCAGACCATGTAGAAGCTCCTGTCGTGGCTCTACCCTCGGGCTCATCGAGACCATGTTAAAGATGTCCCTGAGAGCTTGGTGGGGAGCTCCCAGAAATTCCACACGATGCAGAAGCGATGGCATCTCCTGATTGCAAGCAGTCGTCAAGCGTTTGATAATTCGTTCCTGAAGAACAGGTTGGTGTCTAAAGCTCCTCCTGCAGGAAATTGGTGCGATCCATGTGGATCCCAACGATAAATCCAGAAAACACAAGCTCACAGTAGAAAATCAAGGGATATCGAGTTCCAGGCAAAGAGCACTACGGTTGGAAACTCTCAACAACAAGAAGTTTGACGGCTGTTGCATGTAGATTTCTTCCTCAAGGTTGCCGTTCAAGAAGGCGGTTTTAACAAACATTTTATGGATGTGCCAGTTTTTTGAGCTTCACCACCGGTGCAAACGTATCTGTGTAGTCAAATCCCTATTGCGGTCTATGTCGACGACTCGTTGCTCGTTTGCAACAGCTCCGAATTTCTTGCTGAGATCAAACAGGTATTTTCTTTACCACCCTCATGGACTAAGTCAGCCCCAGTGACTAGATCCTGATGGCGATGTCTTGACTGGATCTGATGGAGACGAGAGGTAAGAGATGCTTGAAAGCATCTCATACCTCCATCTCCATAAGATCCAGTAGTAGGCTCCAAGCAAGGTTGAAATGGGGACCCGTACACGCCCCCCCATTCCACTAATCAAGCGATCCTAAGGAAGAACCAACGTTGCCATTTGACAACTCCAGCGCCGCACCCGTAAAAAGGGTTACATATGATTGTTTGATGAAAACGATTCACGAGAGTGGCAAACAAAGGCTGCCTTTGTTAGAACGACGCCGTTCATTCTATCAGCTTTCCTATTTTTTTGCAGGAATTTGCTCCTTTCGAATGTGTGAATACCCATCCTCCCCAGAGGCAATTCCATGCAACCCAACTTCAGAACCGGTGATGGAACAACATGATGATGATGATGAACCGGTGATGGCGCCCTTCATTTAATTCTTTCTGAGTGTGGTTATGATTTTTGATACGGCAGACGAACAACTGATTTTCTCTTACTCCACTTCTTTTTCCTCGCAAATTGCAAGCTCTGTCTGCCCATCTTTTCCTTCGTATTTTTGGTATTTTGGATGAGGTTTTTCATGTTCAGAATGCGCACCACACAGGCTATGGCAAGCAGTTGAGCTTTGCATTTGACTTTTAGGATTAGTACTGCTTGTGAAGTTGATCTTTCATCGACCAGAGAAGATCAGACTGTTAATATTAGTTTAGCTTCTCACTTGTTGGAGATGGCTGCTGCCATACTCTCTTTGTCTTCTGGTTCATTGCAGGGATATGAAAACGTAGCAAAAACATTTCCCTTCACAGAGGACGAGGTACAATTCGTTAGCATTTTCTTGTCTCAGATCTCCAAATCAGGTTCCTCTCAAAAGATTATAAACCATTGCTTTGCCTGTCGTTTAGCCAAGGTTTTCGCGACAACCTTTGAAAGCTCTTCTCGACCATCAACATGAACTTCCCTTCTTTCCAAATCGCTCTAGAGCTTGTTTACACAAATTCGCAGATGAACATAAACAAGGCAGGTACAGGCCACTGCCGTCCAAAGTACTGTTGCTCCAATTCTCACGTTATTGTTCCTGGTGTAGAAAAAGACGTAGTGGTACCACCATTTTACTGGAAGAATCCTTGCCTCTGGCGTGGATTTCATTTCGGTTTGCTGCCTTCAAGGCTTGGTGGTACCAGCGCTGCGCTGCGAGAGCTCCGTCGGGAAGGCCAGGGCGTGATACTTGGCGTGCTCTACGTACAAATAAACTGTCTTCCACACACACTAGCTAGAAAAGGAAGGAGAAAGGTATGAGATACCTTTCTTTCGCGTTACACATAGTTTTCCTCCAGCGCTTTTGCGTGTTTTCTGCGAGGTCCAAGCTATACATCCAAAACTCATGGTTTGATTTTTCTTCAAATTTTTAGAGTTTTTTGGTATTTTCTATCCATCGTGAGCAGCACCAACAAACGGAACAGCTCAAAGCGTACCAAAACGAAGGAAGTAAAAAAAAAGGATTTCCGCAACATCAACGTCACTGGAACGTGCAATAGTGTCAGAGAGAAGGAAAAAATTATTTAGATTCGCAGTATATTCTATTTCGTACGGTTTCTAGGGCATGTACGACCTCCCGCCAAATTTTCTTTAATCCTTCTAGAGGGAGTCGGAACCATATCATGCCACTCGTGCAATGCTATAGGTTGGTTATAGGTCTCCAATTATGTGTTCTTGGGCATAATGCACGAGGGCGCTCGTTTCTCCATGCTCGCGCGCGGCGCCTTTGCTCGCTATGATCGATTTTTTAGGTCTAGGGCGCTGATCGGGTCGCGGCGTAGTGTAGCTTCTTGCTAGCGAGCGAGGGGAGTGGCAGTCTCAATCTCATCATCTTTGATTGATTGATTGATCTTCTTGCCCAGATTTCTCCCAGAATCGACATTTATTTGCTCGAAATATGGCTCTGGGCCCTGGCAGCGCCAATCTTTCCAAGAAATCTCCCGAGGTACCGGCATTTACTCGGATCAACAGTCAAATTTCCGGCCATGGACCCCTTTCCTGTTCCGTTATAGAGCGATCGCGAGCAATGGCGCCGGGTAGGATTTCTGGAAGCTGTGATGCGGCTGGAAACACCTAATCCGAGCAGCCGAGCTGCGATTAGGTGCCGGGCAGGCGGTCCTGGCATCGATCAACGCAGGTATGGTGTGGATCGTTTCTTTAATTGTAAGACTTGATTATTTCTCTTTCGGGATGGATGAATGAATGAATCTGGAAGCTTGTGTGTTCTTGCAGGCGGTAGCTCAAGAAAAAAAATTCTAGGCAAGAGTTTTTTTCTTCGCGTGATATGGCAACGAGACAGACGACGAGCCAGCACATTGTGTCAGGTGCCACTTTTTCTTGTCTTGGTTACCTATCGTCGTTATCACACCCTCTTTTTAGCCTGCTCTTCTTGTTTGATTCTGTGTCTTCTAGGATGGCTAGCTATGGAGCTTTCACGAAGGCTCTCACTCACCCACTCTCGTGTGTGTTTGTGCTTGTAGGAATTTTTTGAGATAAAAGGAGAAGAGGCACAGTTGGGTCAGGGAGATCATGCCCCCGTCGGCATCGAAAGCTCCAAATGCGACCGGAGCAGCGGAGGTAAGATACTCTGCTGCTAAACATTCGCCACTTACACCACCAATGGATCGAGCCAAGGGAGGCCAGCAGCAACGTCACAGGCATCCTTTTCTTCTGCCCCAGCAGCAGCAGCAGCAGCAGCGCCAGTCTAGCTTTTCCCTGGGCTGCATTTTTGATAATCCGGTAGCGTTTGAAGACTCTTCGTCGGGTAGAAGGAAAATTGACTACACCGGCATCTCCAGTGAAGCGAGAATGGACATGCTCGAGTGCCAGATCAAAAGCGTGGACGCTTGGAACGGTGTGACGAGAGCGCCGGACTTGGTTTCCCCTGCACAGCAGCAGAGGGAGCTTAGGATGAAGATGAAGATCCAAGCGCAGCAGCGTGAAGCCAAAAGGTGGAAACGGGATGGTGTGGGGGCTTCTCTTCATAAACAGGCAGCGGAGGTGGAAGACGCGAGCTATGATCCGGCGAGACCAGTGGCGATCCAGACTTGTAGGCGGAAGTTGTGCCTCGATGATCCGTTGACAACAGCAACGACGAATGACAAGGCAGGCTTTAACACCCCTCTTCTGGACGACTGCGAAATCTACTCGGACGTCTCGGACTCGGTCCCGGAGGATGTGGGCTTCAATGGTTTACCAGCGGCCAGATCAAGGAAAGAGGAGCGGAACACATCCGGGTTTTGCACGCCAGTTCGTGACGCTCTACAGTCGCGCGCTTGCTCGCCGATTAGTGACGATGGGACTGCCTCTTTGAGATCACTAAATGCTCTAGACAATTCCATGGAAGCAGGCTGCTGTGGCATTGAGCTTGAGGATATTGGCACCGACACTTCGAGAAGGGAAAGCTTTCGGTCCTTGAAAGCTTGTGCCACTGCCCGAGAGGGGCCTTACTTCGTCTATCCAGGTTGGTCCATGTGGAGTAGGGAGCACTCGTACAGGTCCCTGACACAGGATAGTCCGCTCTCCAAGAATTCTTGCGCCCCGTCGATAAAAAACCTCCCGGGAGTCAAGACGCTGAGGGCGTCCCTCCGGCAGCACCTTGCAGCGGCAGCAGCGGGACAACGTCACATATCTTCTGGATCCGTGAAGAGATCTTCTAGCACCAACACCAGATCGTCGACAGTCTCAGAGAGTACCTCTATAAGAAAATCACGGAGGGGAGCGTCTACAACAAACGTTGCTTCGAAATGTGGGAAGTTTACTGTTGTTGAAGAGGCCAGAGTGCCACTGTTGAAGCCGCAGAGGACGGTGAGAAAGCACTTTTCTCCGAGAAAGCACTGGGAGCCGGTCACGTTTTTCAGGAAGGGGTTGAAGTCCCTGGCCTCGAAGGGATTCCCGCACGATGGCTTCAGCTTCCCGTCGGTATTCCCGCTTCCAGGATGCGGCCTTCCTCGGCTCGATCAGAGCCACCTCATGAAGCCAAAGAGGTTACTCTCCGAGAAGCGACGAAGCCTGCTAGAGAAGATCCAAGACTCCAAAAACCTGGACGCGACCACCTCTTTCACGGGCTACCTCCAGTGCATCCTCCGGCATGGTCTCACGAGCTACAGCTTCTGGATGGACGAACTTGACGAGGTACTCGTGGCGCGGCTAGAACAGGGAGATCGTCGAGACAAGTGCTTCTCGTTTTATACATGCAAAGGCAAGGACAAATCCGGGTGGCGGCACTGGCAGAAGATCCGGAAGCGAGTCGTCAACTTTATCGGGACGATGAGCTTCTCCTGCTGCATATACACGGAAGTCGACCTCAAAGGCGAAGTCATGCATTTCATGGACTCGGAGTTTTCACTTTTTGACGAGAGGCAACCAGCAAGCACTACTCCGCACCGGCGGACGCACCACTCCAAGTCAAGAGTTGCGTCATACTTGAAAGCTCTCCTGGGAAGCCCGTGGGAAGGTGGCGAGCACAGCGACGCAGGGATGAAGCCCAGGAAGGAGCTCGCAGCGATGGTGATCCGGGTGCCGCTGGAAGTGAGAAAGGCCAGCGTCACGGTTTCATGCCATCACGAGAAGTTCGCGCTGGAGAAGACGTCGTCCACGACCACGACGTGGAGCAGCATTGTGGGGGCCAAAGGCGAGAGCATTCACGTCGTACTACCAACAGGGGATCACGGCCATCCCACTTACGGTCTGGAAGGTCCTCGGCCCCTCGTGGAGCGATGGCGGTCTGGAGGACTGTGTGACTGTGGGAGCTGGGACTTGGGCTGTGGGATGGTCACGCTCTCCAAGGACAAGGACAGCAGCAACAGAGACAACGCAAGCTCGAGCTCCTCCTTGAATCTCGTCGTCGAGGTGAGGAACTCTTTGAGATCGTTTCAAACCTCTGGAGCTCATGATTTTTGGAAAAACTTTGGACAGGGTGTGAAGCGCAAGTTCGTGACGATGAGTTTGTCCCCGTGCCGCGAAGATGGTCTCTACCGCTTGAGCTTCCAGAGGCCGCTCATGGGACTCCAGGCATTCGCGTCGGCCGTGGCGATCCTCCACAGCAAAATCCACACTGGCGGAGAGGTGAGATATGGCAGCGCTAGCGAGACCAAGCTTCCCGTCACGCTCATCGCTCGTCGCGACAAGAGCTTGCGATCGTCGTGCCATCCAAATCCGCCAGTCTCGCCCATCGAAAGACTGTGAGCGCTCGCGAGAGATCCATTTCACTTGTATATAAAAAAAGCCATATCATTCTCCACGTGGCACTACTAGGCACTGCCACGTGGCTGTACTCTCATACTTCCATTAGGCGGCAAAGGGCTTTACATGCCGCCACATGGCAACGTCGTGTCAGGTTGCCACTTGGTAGATTCCACTTGCCACGTTACATGGCTGCATGCTCTTCCATTCACAAGAAGCTTCTCGTTAGCCCTATGCTTTTCTTATACTTTTGCGGGTTTTTCGTTCTCCCTCGCATTTTTCTCTCTTTCTTTTGTTCTTGCAGATTTTTTGTAGCACGCAGCGATGGCTATGGAGGCTCGCAAGCGCGAGGCGTTGGAGACAACTGCTGATGGAGCGCCTGTGACCAAAGAGCACAGGGTGGAGGCCAAAGATTACGATAGAATTCCCAAGCCCCGTGAGTTTTTCTTGAGTTTTCGTGCTCTGTAGAGGAGGTTCTTATCTTTTATTCTTGGTTTTAATTCCAGATGTTCCAAGGGCTTTGTTCGCTGTAGACAATGACCATCCGCTGGGATCCCCCGACCACGATCACTCCGGATTGTCTGTGCTGCAGCAGCATGTCGCCTTCTTTGATCGCAACAAGGATGGGATTGTTTATCCTTGGGAGACTTTTCAAGGTCTGTGCGACGATGTTTTCTTGTCTCATCGAAAATTTCTAAGTTTTGTGCTTGATGTCCAGGCTTCCGAGCCATCGGATTCAACTTCGTGTTGGCGTTCATTGGCATGCTTTTCATCAACGGATCCATGAGCTATGCAACTCTCGAGGTTGGAATTTTTAGTTTTAATGGGTTGATATTGTGTTTTTTTCTAGAGCTGGATTCCGTCGCCCTTGTTTCCCATTTACATAAAGAACATTCACAAGGCAATACATGGCAGTGACACTGGAATATACGACCATGAGGGACGGTAAGAAATTCTTGCGCTACTTATCAGACCATGGATCTTCACACTTGATACACAGCTTTGTTCCTGCAAACTTTGAGCAACTCTTCGACAAGTATGCTCGTACACACGCTGATAGAATGTCATACAAGGAGATCATTGCGATGACTCAAGGCCAAAGAGATGCGTTTGACCTGTTTGGATGGTAAGAGATTTCAGTCTGTTATCAGTTAAGAGTTGTGATCATTTTTTCCTTAGGACTGCCAATAAGTTAGAGTGGACTGCTACATATTGGATTCTTGGAGAGAAGGGCTACATGTCTAAAGATGCTATCAGGGCAGTCTACGATGGGAGTGTTTTTGAATATCTTGAGAAACAACACAAGCATCAACAGAAGTTGCAGTGAATACTATTAAAATGTCTTTTTGGCTTTTCTATTTTTATTAAAGTTTAAATAGAAAAAGTTGGACATTATAAAAGCTTTTATCAGTTTTTTTTAAAATTGGAATTAATATATATATATATATATATATATATTTATTTATTTATATGCAGAAATTATAAATATGTAAGTGCTTGGAATATAGAAATATGTATATCAATTAACTCAAAAACCCTGATCTAGAGTGAAATTAATTTGATGGCATTATATTAATATTAGTATATGGTATTATAGCCATATACTTCACATCATCCCCTCTTTTTAAAATGATGACAAGTAGTTAAGGTTCCTTTGAAGGAACATCAGAAGAAGGCATTAATGGATCTATAAATAGTGTCAATTATTCTTAATCCTTTTGTATGAAGTATTTCAACCATAGCACAATTTTTGAAGGATTGGCTTGTTAGATATCATGCCAAAATTTATAAATTTGCAATCTAACTTTCTGCAATATTTGATATGGTCCCTTCCATTGAGCAAAAAGCCCTTTAAACAAATCACATATATAAGATTAGGAAAATGAATTAACACTAAATCATTTACTTTATACTCTGCAGGTGGATGATGATAGGAGTTATAATGTTGTTGTTATCCTATTTGTATGCAACTTAAGTATTTGGCAGACTTTACTTAAACTAGTAGAAGAATGATCGCAAGACCTAACATTGGTAACTTATGGCAATTGCGACTCAACTCCATTAATAGTATTAGATCATGATTATATAGGAGTTTATATGTACACCTCACATACCGAAGAGAGAACAAATAACCAATCCCAATCCGAATACTGAAAGTTCATATACTTTGCAATCATTCCTTTGAATATCCAAACAAGTTGTTCCACCAAACCATTTGACTGTGGATGATAACCACTTATGAAAGTGTGGTGTATCCCCAATTAAGATATTAAAACATGAAATACCTTATCCATAAATGTAAGACTATTATCTGAAAGAATTTTCTTTAGACAAGAATGCTAAAACACCACTCGATTGAGGAGGAAGTATCCAATAGTGGTTGCAGATGCACTAACAAGAGCTTCAATTTCCACCCAATGAGTCAAATAGTCAGAAGCAATAATGATATACTCATTGTTAGCAATTGACTGTGTTAAAAGCCCTTATCAGATCAAATGCTACTAATTTAAACAAACAGAAAACTGTAATTGATTCTAGCCGTCTTTTGCAACACGAGGGGGAGTATTATGAGTTTGGCACTAAATGCAACTACACACATACTAGATAATAAAATTGCATTTCCCAATAAAAAGACTTGTGCAGCTTCTTGGTCACACAATAATGCCCTATATGCCTGAATAAAATAGGAGAATTATGATAAGCATGGAGAAAACATGGAATAAAAATCGAAAGCATCATTAGTTATAAATGATCATCAGGATCCATCCCCACAAAATAAAGGTGGTCATCCTCAAGGTGATATTGAATATGTAAATGCCGAAATGGCAAGTAATAAGCAAGTGATGTAAGATTCTTAAACCCATTGTAAAAACTTTGGATCCATGGCTCAACATTTTGAGCTTTACAAACTTCATCAATAGAAAGTAAATCTTGTTCTACACCTTGTGGACTCTAAACATCAAATACAACAACCACAGAATCATCATTTAAAAATCCACAGATGCTGGAATAATAAACTTGTTAGAAACATGATAAAAGAGTGAAGAATGAAGAAGAGCTCAAAAAAGAGCATCAATATGAGCCATAGAACTCTCTGGGCGTTGAAATTGTATATCTAAAGCTTCAAAGCCCATTGAGCAATATGACCAGCTAAGTTCTTTCATTTTCATAATGAAGTAACTACAGCATAATCACTTTTTAGTAATATTTAAAAACCATATAATAAATATGAAGTTTCTCAAAACCCCAAACTACTACTAAACACTCTTTTTTGTTGTGGAGTAATTCACTTTTACCGGTCGTAATGTATAGCTGATGTATGCAATGGGATGGCACTGATTAAGCATACTTGAGCTCTAGTACATCAACACATCTCCAAGACCGATATAAAAAACATCCACGTGCAAAATGAAAAGTCGAGTGTAGTTAGGATATGCCAAAACTAAAGGAGTTGTCAATAGCTCTTTGAGATACTTAAATGCTTGCTTACAGTCCACAGACTAAGTGAAAGATGATGTTAACAACTTTAATAATGCTTACAATAGTGTAGTATGATAAAAAAAGATGACCAATGAAACAATTAAGATATCGCACTTTGTCTAAAAAGTGTTGCACATATCATTCACATATTTTGGAGTAGTGAATTTAAGAAAAGTCATAGGTTTATCAGAATCAACTTACAAACCTTCACGAGAAATATTATACCCAAGATAAATGGTGTCTTTGGACCCAAATACACACTTTGATCACTTCAACTTTCAACTAACTTTTTGCAACTGATTCAACACCTTATAAATATCATGAATGTGTTCCTCCCATATCCCTTTCAAGTGGATCAAGACATCATCGATGAAGTCAGAAATCACATCTAGCATATTGCAAAGAACCTCGTTCATCATCCACTAGAAAGTCATTAAAGCATTGTTTAAACAGCATCACCAAGAACTCATACAAACTAATGGTATATAAAAGTAATGTTGGGAATATCTTCTTTAGCCATTAGCATTTGCCAATACCCAAAAGCAAAATCTAACTTGATGAACTAATGATTTCTTCCCAGATGATCTAAGAGATTAGTAGTGTGAGGAAAAAGATATATATTTGGGATTGTCACTTTGTTTAACTAATGATAGTCAATGGAGAAATGAATACTCCCATCAGACTTTGTCATAAGATAAGGTTTACAGGCCTAAGGACTTCACGACTTTCAAATAACACTCTTTTCCAACATCTCTTTAATGTTTATATATAAAATTTTGATCACTTTTGGTGACCGACGACAAACAAAAACCTTGATTGGACAAGAATCCTCAATTGGAATAGGATAACATATTACAATCTTGGTGCCAAACAACATATCAAATTCAAAGAGATCGACATACTCCTTTATAAGTTAGTCAACCATTGTAACATAAAGACCGTTGGAGGGATTGGAAGAGGGAATAGAAGAACAAAATAGAAACATAGAAGAAAATAATAAAGAGGCAAAAGTGATAGAAGAAGAGGTAAAAGTAGAGGGATAAAGAGGAACAAAAGTGAGAGGAACGGAAGAAATATAAAAAAGTATGAGACAAGGGTTAAAAGCACACTTGGCATAATTATATCATAACTAATCTATACTAAGGATGAGGTTAAAAGCTTAACTCTACACAACCCACAATAATTATAATATAAGCTCGAGATTACCCACACACATAACTAAGTCCGCCTCATACAATGTATATGCGTGTCTACAATCGTTGTCATAAAGAATGAAAACTAGCTTTGCCACACAACACAAATATAGATAGCAACATATAGCAACAAACTAAGAAATAAAGGATAAAGTTGAGTTTATATCAACTAATATGGAAAAAATAATAGGAGACCTCTTATTATAAAACAAGCTTGGAAAATAAACATTACACGAATTGATGCCGAATGAACCCCTTAATGATACTCTCGAAAGAACAATAAAGGGGTTACTAACTTACTTGAAGGACCTTCTACTACTCGCGTGACTCTTCATTTCTAGGAAGCATCTCAGTGTCTAGACCTTCTACTGCAACAATATTAATAGGACATTGTTGACACTAAAGTCTCCACCCAAGAAATGAAAGTTGCTAATCTGCAAAACGTTAACAATGCCAATAAGTGTGACAAACTTCATCATACACCCAATAGTGGACATTATAACCATGATTATGTCATTGCCCTTATTCTAGAACTTGGATAGCAATAGCATCAACCTCTATTGGAACAAGACCATCTCTTATAGAAAGTGGAGCGAAAGGATATGCAACGAGAAGTGGAAGAGGTGATGTCTTATAACATTGTGCCAAATGAAGAGCATCATCAAGGGTAGCTAAAACAAGTGTATGTATAATTTTTATAAGATCTTGATAAAATGCTAGCCACAACATTCCCAACTTGATCCACTTTGATATATTTAGCTCTACACAAAGTAAAAGGTTTCAGAAACAAATGCCAAATTGCATTACTAACTTGTAATACATTCTATCTCTCTCCCCTTAAATCAACTAAAAAATGAGCAATTATTTGATAAAAGAGCCCTTAATAGCTAATTTATTCCCATTTATCCCCTAATGTTTTAAGGATCTACAGTGACAGTATATTCAAATTTCATCCCATAATCACATGTGCTACATAGATGGCCCTAAACGAAGACAATACAACTATTAGAAAGCATCATCACAATTGCCAACATATCCAAATGCGCATTTGAAGACATCTGGGAGAATGCTCCAATCCTCATAAGTGGTTACACTCAAACTATTATATCATTGTAACATTGTTCTTTAAAGACACGTGGAAAACTCACTCAAACGTTGAGCATTATCCCAATAATGATATGTGGCAATCACTGTAAAGTGATAAAACCAATGGTACACATAATCCCTAGGACGAGCTTTGGTCAGACACGAGGATTAACACTAAGAGCAAAAAGAGCTATACCTACCACTATCAATTAAGTCTGATTATTTAATTGTAACCACATAGCATTGAACAACTTGCATCAGCTGTTGCTCCAAAGTCAAAGGAAAAAGAAGCTGTTGCTTTGTTATGAAGATGAATAAAAAAGAAAAGGCAAAAAAGAAAAAATTGAGAAAATTATAAAGAAAGGGAGATTTAGATGATGCAAAAGCTAGATCTAAACCAAAATCCCAAATCTAAACACTCCTTAGAGACAACCAAAGTTGCCCCTCACCTCCACCAATATAAGTGCATGGAATATAAAAATGAAATATAGAAATGTGTATACCAATTAGCCCAAAAACCCTAATTTATATATAAGAGTAAGTGGTCTAAATTGAAATCAATTCAGCAGCTATTAAAATCCTACTATGTTAATATTAGTATATGGTATTGTAGTCATACACTTGGACCTAAGCTATATTAATAAAATTATTTATTAATATTTAATTATATCCATAGATAAATTTATTAATTATCATATTAATAAAAATATTTTATAGATTTTAGTGTATAATCTTGTAATAAATAATAATATATGGAGTTGCCATCAGATCTAATTAATGGCATATAAGCTTTTGAATTTAGACTTTCCGGGAGGTCACCTAGCCCAATACTATTCAAACCTAAAAACACTTAACCCTAAATATCCTAAGACTTTTAACCGATTGAAAAAGAAGGTGCATTCTTATTCATGGGCCTTTTCCTTTTATACTTAAACCTTATAAATTGTTTCTCAAATCATTCTCTTTGGTTGTTTACATGGCAGCCATTCAATGGTTTATCTATCAAAGGGTTATTTTTCTAACCATGTTAGCAAATGGAAGGTTGCTAATTGCCTAGGGTGAGAGAATGTAGCACATGTGATTATGGGATGAGATTTGGATATACTGTCACCGTGGATCCTTGGAACCTTGGGGGATAAATGGGGATAAAATAGCCACTAAGGGCTCTCTCATCAAGCAATTGCCCCTTTTCCAGTTGGCTTAAGGGGAGAGAGATAAGGTGCGCTACAGTTGGTATCGGAGCAAATGGCATGGGTTCGATTCCCATTGATTAGTGGCTACTTAAAAGTATAATATACCCTTGAGCAAGGTATATTCCTACCCCTAAATTTGAAATCGTACGTATTGGGCATCCATGCATACGTCCTTCCTCTTGTGTGGAGTATCCACGGACGAAGGTATCCACCGTGGGACTGCGGTACGGGTGGATGACTATCTCACGAGGGCGTGAACTTGCAGGGAAGCGTGGTGGATTGTAAGCAACCAAAGGGAATAGCTTCCGTTCACGAGGGCATGAACTTGCAGGGAAGCGTGGTGGATTGTAAGCAACCAAAGGGAACGACTCGAGAGACGATCCATTGGGGTTCAAATATAAAGGGAAAGGGCCCATGAATAAGAGTGCACCCCCTTTTCCAATCGGTTAAGGGTCTTGAGATATTTGGGTTTAAGCGTCTTTGGGCTTGAATAGTACTGGGCTAGGTGACCTCCCGGGAAGTCCACCGAAGGTATCCACCGTGGGACTGCGGTACGGGTGGATGACTAGTTGCCTCACATGGAATAGCTGGTCTACACAATGAAAGGATTGGTAGATTGAGTGTGGAAATGGAGGTGCTGGTTCCCCTTGGCTCAGTAGGGGTTGTTAGTCAATAGTCAATGAGGACATTGACATCTCTGAAGGGGGGGTGAATGTAGCGCATGTGATCATGGGATGAGATTTGGATATATTGTTACCGTGGATCCTTGGAACCTTGGGGGATAAATGGGGATAAAATAACCACTAAGGGCTCTCTCATCAAGCAATTGCCCCTTTTCCAGTTGGCTTAAGGGGAGAGAGATAAGGTGCGCTACAGAGAAGAAAGTGGGGTGAGTGTAGCGCATGTGATCATGGGATGAGATTTGGATATATTGTTACCGTGGATCCTTGGAACCTTGGGGGATAAATGGGGATAAAATAGCCACTAAGGGCTTTCTCATCAAGCAATTGCCCCTTTTCCAGTTGGCTTAAGGGGAGAGAGATAAGGTGCGCTACAGAGAAGAAGGTGTTATGATGTGTCACATGCAATATGTTGATCAACATTGACACTCATGGACACTTGCTATTCTCTAAGGAATTTAATAATTTTTTTGAGGAAATATATCTTCAATTTTTCTTTCAAAGTACAATATTTGTTTTTTTTATTCTATTCTAATTTTGTTTTCAATGTAACAAAACTATGACAATTGAAATAGTGTTTTGTAATTGGGAAGCATATGCTAGGCAATACCTAGTTAATATCATTTAAGATATATTAGTCTTTTTATATTAGTTTAACGTGTGAATGCCTAATAGAATACAAAATATTTACTGTGTATTGCATGCAATAATGCTTGGTTTGCTTAATAGTAGTGTTATTCTTATTTATTAATCTAATTGATTGAATGAAAGTTTATAATTATAAACATGTTTAAAAGATTAATGTTATTAAATATCAAACATTAGATGGTAGAATAAACTAGAATATACTAAGAAGTGTTTAGGAAAGTTTATAAATTATAAAAATATTTAGAAATTATAAATACAAGATTAATTTAAATGAAATGGTAGAATATCCTAAAATATCCTAGCATCTTTTAGGTATATCCACTAGTTTGCTTAAGCAGATTAACCAAAAAGCCTTGTAATCAATCTGACAATTATCAAAAGCCTATCATATTAAATCATATTAATAATAATATACAACATCGTAATTGTATGCCCAAGCTTCACATCATCACTTCCTTTCAAAAGGATGGAAGATAGTTAAATTAAAGTTCTCATGTTGATGGGTTGGGATCTTGAGGAATATAAGGAAAAGACACTAATAGATCTGTAAGTGATACAATTTATTCCTAATTTCTTTATACGAAGCACTTCAATTGTTACACATGCATAATTTTTTACGGATCAAAATGTTATATATTATGCCAAAGTTTATAAACTTACAATTCAACTTGCTATAATACATGACATACTAAGTAAAGAGTCTTTTAGACATACCACATATTATAAGACTAGGAAAACAAATTAACACTAGATCATCCACTTTATACTCAACAAATAACAAATGGATGATTATATAGGACAATTATGAGGTTGTGAAGATAAAACTAATGTATATATGAATGTTCTGTTATAGAATTATAGTTAATGAACATATAACACCAAATTCTTCCATTGATTCCAAATTAGGACACCTGATGCAAACACACTTGATAGGTCTGGCCAAGGCCCGAAGCTATCTCTTGTGATTACCAAGTGCAAAACCACTTAAAGAATATGGTAGGAATACAATAGCTCTGCTCTGTAAGCAAGCTTTAAACACCCTCTTTTGTTGTGAAAATTGCAAGCAAACAAACCTGTCTCCGTCGCTATGGCTTACTCAAGTCCTTTCCCAAACACTTGTCATCCATTTTCTCATCCCTCTCTCCTACACAAAGATCTCCCGTTCTTTCTCCCTATCCCTCCTCCGACTCATTTGCACCTTTTCGGCCCCTCCAGCTGCCGTGCATCCCACACTCCTTTCAGGCGATTTTACTGGTATCCTCGTAGCTGGTTTGGTAGAGCAAAGTCAAAAGCAAAAAACTGTAAGCAAGGATCTTAGATCTCGCAATGACACCGCGCCTTAGCCATATGAACCAATGTTTCAAGGACAAGGTAGAAAACAAATAGAGTACAAATGGGAGGTTTCAGTGGAACTGGCCGGGTTGGCCCAGAACCAAGGAAATTTTATTTTCTCATCTACAAGGAATATCTCTGGGCATCAAACCATGTACCGCCACGTGTAACGCTGCCTCCGGACAAGGTAAAACCACAGTTTCCAGTGAGACATATCTCTGGTTAGAGTTGTGATCTTGCACGTGGCAGGCTTAGATTGCGCGTAACTTGTCTAGTTATCCGGGTAAAATTACCGGACCTAGCTGCTGAAGCTGGAGGCCTGGCACCGAGCCTGCCCACTTAAGTAGACTTTGCTCATCCGCCATAGCTAGAGCTTAGAGAAGCGATCGATTCGGTCGATTCATCCCTGAAAATCTTGAAGGGATGCGCTGCCTAATCTCCTCCCTGGTTTTCGTGGTAAGTCTAATTTGGTTTACGCGAGATCTTCGCGGTTAAAAAGACAAAGAGGAACAAAGAGGCAGCGCTTTTGCCAAGTGTGGCCAAAGGGCTGCGAGACGAGCGAGTGCACTGCGAGGATCTACAAGCGCGCCGCTTCTACAGTGCTCTTGAATCTCTTCCGGGAAATTCACGCCGATCTTCCCGAGAATTTAATGTCAGGGCTTGTAATTGTCAGGGAAAAGCTACCAGGGATGGATTCGGGAAGAGGATAGGGAAGGAATTGGCGAGTAGAAGGGGAATTAGATTAGAGACTTGGTTGTGCGCGAAGGATAAGCTCTGTAGATAGCACTCGCTATGGCGGCATCCGGCGGTGGTGGGTCTCTTCCCCAGCAATTTGGAGCGGCCAACGGTGTCTTGGGTCGATCCAATTCGCTACTGGGAGGGCGATTGGGAAGCATGGCTCTCCCGCGGCAGCAATCGATCTATTCCCTGACGTTGGATGAATTCCAGAGCAGTCTGGGCGAGCCCGGCAAGAACTTTGGCTCCATGAACATGGACGACCTCCTCAAGAACATCTGGACAGCCGAGGAGAGCCAGGCCATGGCCGCCGCATTGTTTAGCTCGAACGATCCCTCCTCCTCTTCCGCGGGCGCCGTCGTCGCCGCTGAGGATCCCTCTCTCCTCCCCCGGCAGCCCAGCCTGGGCATCCAGCGCCAGAATTCCCTCACTCTCCTCCCCCTCCCGCAATCGCTCAGCGCCAAGACGGTGGACGAGGTATGGAAGGACATCGGGCCCCTGGACGGCTACGGTACCGCCGGCGACGCGGCGGTACCGCCCATGAAGCCGCGGCAAGGGACTTACGGCGAGATGACGCTCGAGGACTTCCTCGTCAAGGCCGGCGTCATGGCGCCCGACGCCATCGACCACGCGCAGGCCGGCTACTACCCGACCACCAGTACCGCGACGGCAAACGGCTCGTACGGAAAGGTGACGCGGGACGCCGCGGCGGTACCGGGCGGCGGGACGCCGATACTGGGCGGTATGACGGGCCTACTGCCCGGCAAGAAGGAACCGGTGGAGGTGAACGATCCAATGCTGGGAATTGGGCTTGGGCCGGCGAGGAACAATCTCTCCTCCCCGAATGGATTCTATGCGGCGTCCAGCGCCGCGGCACAGGCGGCCAAGCATCAGGCGGAGTGGATCGAGAGCCAGTACAAGAATTCCACGGCGCTGGCGCAGCAGCAGCAGCAGCAGCAGCAGCTCATGCAGCTGGCGGCATACAATGGCAACGCGGCGGTATCGACGGGGCTGGGCATGGGACTCAACGGCGGTACCGCCGGCGGTGTGGTGTGCATCAAGGAGACGTCGCCCGGGAGCCCGCTATCGGACGCGCTGGACCAAAACGGGGGCTATGGCGGGCTTTCCAACTATGGTGGCGGATTCGATGGCCCCCTCCGAGGGCGCAAGAGGATCCTGGACGCGCCGCTGGAGAAGATTGTGGAGCGGAGGCAGCGGAGGATGATCAAGAACCGGGAATCGGCGGCGCGATCGCGAGCGAGGAAACAGGTCCGTGATCTTTCAATCAAAAAAGCTGGTTTTTTGTCGCTCTTTGTTTACGCGAGTTCGTTGTCTCCAGGCTTATACAGTCGAGTTGGAGGCCGAGGTGACACAACTCAAGGAAGAGAACATGAAACTCCGGAAAATGCAGGTAAGAAACGAGTTTTTCTTACGTGATTTCTCTGTGGGATCGCTTCATGAGTCGATCGTTTCGTTTCGTGGGCTTTCTCATCTAAACCTCCCAAACGGTTTTGCTTTTCTGCTTTCCAGGAGGAGGAGAACATCAAGCGAAAGAAACAGGTAGCGTGATTCTCTTGTTCTCTCTCTCCTTTTCTCCTTTTTCTTTGTTCCTCTCATTTTCTCGGTTACGTGTTCTGCTGGCTCTCCTCCTCTCTCGAGCTCGAGTGCTTGTAGATCGAACAATCGATCGTCCCGCCACTGATCAACATCTCTTTTGCTAGCAGCAGGCCTTGGAAGTGATCACTCCAATGACCCAACACCTCCCAAAGATGCTCAAGAGAACGCTCACGGGACCCTGGTAACCACGACGCTTGTACGGAAGAACCTTTGATCCATCGCTCTCTCGTAAGAACGGAGGTACGAAAAGGAAGAAACGTTTCCGAGAGGACAAACGAGGCCCGGGGCGGTCCCCGCAATCTGATCCGTCCATTGTCCTCTTGCGTGTACTTGGCGATCTACAAAGCCCCACTGTTGCTCCTTATTAGATCGCTTGGCTCTCTCTTGTTTAAAAGCATTGTTCTATCCAGCTTCCATTCCACTGTACAAGTGTCTCGCATCAATATGGAGAACCTGGGCGATCGATCCAAAAAATTCCAAAGCTCCGATAGCTCCATCCATCGATCGATCGATCGCTAGAGAGAAGAAATTTTCCTAGCTCGCCTAGCACAGCCAAATCCAGCTAGAATAATTTAATCTAGAACATCGAAGCCCTTGTCCCCTCGAGGGGACAAGAGGATCACATAATAACATAATGGCGCCAGCACACCACGTGGCAGGCCCACACGCAACGCAAACCCGGGCATCGCTCTCCCCCACGTGTCGGCATCCATGTGGGGCTGCCAGACGTGTGGCGCGAGACTAACTAGTGACCCACCCAGCAGGCGTGAGCCAATGAGACGTCGACACCGCGCTCCCTATGGGGTCACGACAGGTGTCCCAGTGTCCGAAAACTCTACCGTCATGCATATCCCTTGGAAAAAGAAAGAGATGCATATTCTGGAATAATCTCTGATGTTTATGGCAGGTATATACGGGAATAATCTCCGGGATTTGAAAATTAGGGCTCTTCTACTTCTCGTTGGACCATGACGATTCCTTGTCCTTGGAGAACGTCACCTGGAGCGCGTCCACCGCCTCGGGCTTGAGGCCGAAGGCTTTGGCGAGGACCGAGTCGGAGATGGGCGGATCGGCGCCGAAGAGCGACGGGGCAATCTGCTGGGTGCCTGGGTTCTGGCTGCTCAGCGCTGCGAATGCGAGCGCGGTGCCGTAGCCGACGTTCTCCTGGAAGTGGACGAGGCCGCGGGGGAAGACGAAGATCTCGTTCTTGTTTACGGTGGCAGTGAAGAGCTTGTTGTTTGTGGCGACGAATCCCACCTTGAGCGAGCCGTCGATGACGAGCAGGATCTCGGTGGCGCGCGGGTGAGTGTGTGGGGGATTCACGCCGCCCTTCTTGAAGTCGATGCGAGCGAAGGAGATCCCGAGGGTGTTGAGGCCCAAGAACATACCGATGTTGGCGGGGGTGACGATCGATCCGACCATGTTGTTTGCGTCGCCCAGATTCACCAGGTTCTTGAAGAGGAAGTCGTCGCCCGTGACCATGGCTGGGTTCTTGCAGATCGCGCCATTCACGTTGACCACCACCGAGATATCTACAATCACCAATGTTTTGGATCTAAGATCATTGAAAACTTGCAAGGAGGTTCTAGCTTACCAGAGGAATTCGTGGTAGACATCTGGACCTTGTATGGAGATTCCTCATCCTTATCGTGATCATACTTATCATCGTCTTTCTTCGACTTTGGTGGTGAGATGTTGATCTTGTTGTCCTTGACAGCAACGCAGAAATCCTGGAGTGGATCGGGATCGGCTCCAAGAACTCCGGACAAGCCAAGAACACTAGCGATTACAAGCACCAAGAACTTCACCGCCATGGCAAGAGATTTCTTTTCTCTAGCTTTTCCCTCTTGACTTCCAGGTGGTTTTGCAAGCTCTCCTTTTTATCGTCTCGTCAAGCTCATTGTCGTATCGCAATGGAATTGCTAAAGAGAGATGTTTGAAAGCGTCAGCGAGAGACTTAGTCGCGACACAAGACCGATAGACGCTACCAGCAAGTCAAACTTTCCCTCATGTCATAAGTGTTTTCCCCCCCGAATTCCCTTTCGTCATAGCCTTATCTTGGTCCCAAACAACCCCACGTCATCATTCCTGTCCGTTTCCGGCCCGAAAAGGAAGAAAAGCTTTTTTTTTCTTAGCCGCTTCTACAGATATTTGACATGAGCACGTAATTCCCGCAGCCTTTCTCCATTTCAAGCCCGCCACCATTCTCCGATTCTCCCAGAGACGAACCAAACGCGAGCCTCGCCAAATCCAAGTTCTTCCCCAGCAGCGTTTTCCAAGTCACGGAGCTCGGCTCGAAAGGCATGCCGCGAATGAGCTCCAGCGCCTCGTCCAGCCGGTTTGCGCGGCCCAGGAGATCGATCACACAGTGGTAGTGCTCGATCCGGGGGCTCACTCCAAACCTGGAGCTCATCTCCCGGAAGAACTTGGTGCCGATGTCGACGAGCCCCGCGTGGCTGCACGCCGAGAGCACGCACAGCAGCACAGGGCCGCTTGCCGGGACTTTCTCGTCGACCATCTTGTGGAAAAACTCGAAAACTTTGCCGCTGTGATCCCCCTGCCTGCTGTATCCTGCTATCAACGCGGTCCAAGTCACTAAATCCGTGCTTGCGATCGAGTAGAAGAGCTGCTCGGCGTCCACCATGCTGCCACACTTTCCATAGAAATCCACCAGGCCGCTTTGCAGCACCTCGTTCTTGCTCTCCAGCCCACGCCGGCAAATCTCCCGATGGACTTCTCGGCCAGTTTCTAAGCTCGGGACTATCGCACAGGCTTTGAGGACGGCAGCAAACGTTCGAGCGTCTGGAGCTACGTTTGTGGACTTCATGAGCTCAAAAAGCCGTAAAGCCTGCTCGATCTCTCCGTTTTCCACGTATCCCAGCAGCAAAGTGTTCCAGGAAACCACGTCCGGATGCTCGATCCGGTGGAAAACTTCACGAGCTCCCCGCAAGTATCCACACTTGACGTACATATCGATCAAAGTATTCGCCACCAAAAGCTCCGAGGAAAACCCGGCCTCGGAAGCTTGAGTATGAAGAACCTCCCCCATCTCCAGAGCTTGATCGATATTCTTCGCAGCGATGGTCGAGCAGGCCTTAACAGCAGCGGCAAACGTGAGAGCATTGGGCCGGCAGCGATCTCGTCTCATACGCTGGAAGACCTCCAGAGAAAAATCGCCATCGCCATCTTGGACGTAGCCCAGCATGAGAGCCGTCCAAGACACCACGTCGCGATGAGCCATGGTGTCAAACACTGCCTGGGCGTCTCTCACGCTTCCACATTTCGCGTAGACGTCGATCAAAGCATTGGCGACGAACAAATCTGCTGTGGCAGAGCCGAAACTCCCATGAGCTCGAGCTCTAGAGTGTAAATCCATGGCCCTCTCCAGAGATTTCCACTTGACGACGAGCTCTGGCGCGGAAACGAACGCTCCCACCTCCCTGGCGGCTAGATTAGAGCACGCCTGGAGCGCAGCCACGAAGCTGTGCGAATCGCGGGACGCCATGGCCGAGAAGATTTCCAGCGCGACCTCTTCCTGGTGATTTTGAGCGTACCCCAAGACGAGTGCGTTCCAGGCGACGATTCCCGGATGGGGGATTCGATCGAAGACATCGCGAGCCTCGGCCATGCTCCCGCATTTGGCGTACATGCTGATGAGCGACGTCCGGATGTAGGGATTGGAGCAGCCGCCGCTCTGGATCGCGTCAGCATGGATCCGCCGCCCTGATTCTAGATCCCTGGAGCCGCCGCACGACCTCAATTGCGCTACCAACGAAGCGATGCTGCCGCTCTTCGCCGTGATCTAAGAACCCTAAAATTAGCCCTTAAAAAAGGCCACTAAAGAGCCCTAAATAGTTTATCTATTATTTGGATTTTGATGCCTTTACAAAACTCCCTAAACAGTTAAAGCGAAGCTTTGCAATCTTTATCTTTGAAATTCTTGAATGGATACCACCTTTTTACATATCTTGCATGTCACCCATTTGCCTTTGGCTGTGCCTTTGCCTGAAGTGAAATTTAGACCAAAGAAGCTTCATAAAAACATATTACTTACCATTTTCCTTCTTGTCGATTGTTTTCTTAGGTACCTTGAAACCATTAGTCTCGAATGCTTTCAGCTGGAAAAAAAAAGATAAATAAATAAATAACCAAAGAAACAATGAATTACCTGTTTTACAAACCCGGGATTTGGATCCACACTTGGACTTGATTTTTTGAGAGAAGCCAAGGCATCTGGTTAAAATCGAGAGGTGAGCTTGGGATTTTTAGAAACACCAAGATCAATACCTGCAAAGGACAGCTTCTCCTTCCACATAAGATACGCAATCATAATCGATGGACTGCAAATGCCCAAAGGTAAATCCCCAAATCCTTGAAGTCCAAACTACGTAAATGCCTACCTGCGGGAAAATCCGCCACCGCAATGGACGAGCACAATCCCCTCTTGGACTCCTCGATTGATGAATTCCAAGCACTCCTCGAGGCGCTCGAACAAATTCTCGTCCGCCGAGTCTTCCAGAGGCACAACCTTCCGAATTGGAAGCCCGGAGAAGTCGCACTTGTTCTGGAGCTCCACGGAAACCCTAAAAAACGCGTTCGCGTCACTGGGCGGGCCGTAGGGGACGAAATCCTTGCTCTCGTGGTTAGGGCACAGCGGCAGCACCGATAGAACATGCGTCACTCCAGCTTTCGTGCCCGATAGAAACAGAAGCGCGTCGCCAATGTCGCCCAAATAGAGATCGTCGCGCACTTTCTTCATCACAAACCCTAGAATTAGGGCTTTTGTAGGGCAACGGTGAGGTGGCGACACGTCAGGGACAGGTGGCGTAAAAAGGATGCCAGGTAGGTGCCATGTCACACACGGTAGCAGCACAGCAGGCGGAAGTCTGTGTGCTGTGATGATGATGGAGACGCGCGGATGAAACAATGCGTCTTCTAGGGTTTTTCCTCTTCTTTATTTCGTAGGGCTATCCTTCTTGTTCTTGGCGCCCGGTGTCCTCCGGCATCGATCAGGGTTAGTAATCCAAGGCGGCGATCCATCGATCAATCGATCGGGATTCTTTCTTGGCGGCGGCAGCGGCCAAGATCGAATTTTCTTTCCGAGGGTTTTCGAGGCAAGGCATGGCCCTATTCTTGATTCTTCCATGATGCGGCAGCGATGCTGCTGACGATGACGCTGATCGCCGCCTCTCCGCTATGGCTCCCCCTGGACGCGCTGGTGCTGATCTAGATGGTAGGGATTACTGGAGCGCCATCGTCGCCGGGTTCTTGGAGCTCTTCATCGCCTGTCTCGTGCTCCTAACGGCCGGCGTCTCGCTCCTCGCCTCCAAGCTCATCAAGATCTTCGACCTGCCGTATCCATGTACGTATCTGGGGCTCCAGCACGAGCGATCGGTGCTGTGCGAGCAGCACAGGAGGCTGGCGCTGCTCAATCTCCAGCTGCATGACTCGTGTGGCGAGTGCTTGCGAGAGCTGACGGCGGCGCGAATCGAGCAGAACGCGCGAGTTCTTCCGCTCTTCCAGGAGCCGCGCGTGAGGGAACTTCACGATGGAAGGGGCGACGATCACCATGACAATGAAGAGGACGAGCTGGGTGATGACGGATTTGGGACCGAAGCGATCGCGCACAAGGTGACGAGCGTGGCCGTGGACGACAAGAAAAATCCGGAGGTGCCGTCGCCTAGAGTTGGAGCTACAGGAGATCGTTGTGTGAAGCGAAAGTTTGCGAAGATATTCGTGGAGGAGCTTCCGCATGATCAGGTTTCGTCCGGCGTGAAATCTTCCGAGGAGGAGAAAGATAGGGGCGATGCTACCTCGGATCTCTCCGTCGAGAGCGTCAAGGCAGCATTCCAAGCGGAGAAAGACGCTCTGAACTCACTTTATGTGGAGCTCGAGGAGGAAAGGAATGCGTCGGCCATAGCTGCCAACGAAGCCATGGCGATGATCACTCGGCTCCAGGAGGAAAAGGCAGCGGTTCAGATGGAGGCTCGTCAGTACCAGAGGATGGTTGAGGAGAAAGCGGAGTACGACCAGGAGGCTATCACTCTTCTCAAGGAGATACTCTTCAAGCGAGAACAGGAAAAGTTCGTGCTGGAGAAGGAGGTGGAGTCTTATCGAAAGCGGCTACTGCCCGCGAGAGATGGCGACGACGTCGACGACTGGCTTCCATCGAGGCTGCTCCTCGAAGGTGGTGGTGGTGGTGGTTTCGGTGCGGGCCAGAGAAAACCAACCGAGCTTTCACGTCGGCAAGGTACCAATCTTCTCGAGGACTTCGATCGGGCGAGCTCGCATCACTCCGGGAGTGTATCCGGCGACGAAGCCACAGGGAATGGAGCGGAAGAGCTGGGCTTTCAACGCAACGCAAGCGCTGCAAGTCCGGGTGGTGATTATGGTGGCGATCCAACAGCGCGTGGTGATATCGATCTCGATCGAGGAAAACGTAGCGATCAAGTGGAAGAAGCTTTGAGCAACGGCAACTCCGACCTTGATCTTCGAACCACCTCCATGGTCATGAGAGACAACTTCCGATTGGCCATGGAAAACGACATCCGAGAGCTAACGTCGAGATTGCAGGTGCTCGAGGACGACAGGCTGCTGCTCACGCAGGTTGTGCAGTCGCTCACGGCCGACAAGCCGGATCATCTCCGAGAGCTCGCGCAACACTTTCGACTCAAGAAGGCCGCCGCCGACCTCGCAGTTCCTCCAGTCTCTCAGGTACTTGGCTGCCATCACGAATGCATTTTAACATCCTAGGCCAGCTCCGAGCGCGCGAGAGAGAGAGGGTGATTGGATTTTTTCGTTCTCTACTGTTTTTTCTAGAGAGTGTGGGTGTGTGAGTTCTAGAGGGGGAGAGTAAAGCTATGTCTCGTTGCTTCGTTTTCTTTCTTTTTTCTCTGGGAGAGAGGTTTCTAGCTCTTCATTTTGTGCAATAAATAAGATCCTCTCGGGCGGCGTTTATATGAAACTTTCTGGTGGTTTCTTGTGTTCTTGCAGGTGGTCACGAAGAAACGAAGAATGGAAGGAAGCTTTTGGTAGAAGATCTTGTTTGGAGCATCGAGTCTATCAAGGATTGGAGTAGAGAATTTGGATTTGGAGCGTTTCGCGAGGATTTGGAGCGCGAATGTAGATTTGTTTCATTCGAGCGTTTATTGTATTTGTAATGTTTGTATTGTATTTAAAGGAAGGTTATGTATGGTAGCTTGCCCTACCTTTAAAATAATGCTTAGAATTTGGGTGTAATTTAAATATTTTGGTTGGTATGGTGGTTGGCTCCACTTTTCTAGGGCTAGAGAAGCGCTAGGGTTTGCGCGTGAGCAATGCAGCCGGATTGATCGGAATCGCCGGTCCTCCGGAGCGATCCCAGAGTAAGGTGAGCTCTCTCTTTCGGTGCGATCGGTCGCCGGATTTATTTCCAGTGACGAGGACGCGAGCGGCAGCATGGAAGTGACGATCCCAGCTCTTGACAGCTCCGATGTGCGGCGCAAGAGCTCTTCCACGCGCCCGTGCACGCTTGTCATCACTCACACGGGGCAATGCGTGAATCTGGTCGCGGATTCTTCGAGTGGTCCTCCCGTAGAGACGGAAGAGGAAATGTCTGTGACAAAGAACGCGTTCTTTGGGAAGCTGAGAGAGACGTTTGAGGATCTAAATCTTCGTGGACTTTTGTGGCTCAATAGCCAGGGACAAGGCAAGAACATCGACGCAGAGAAGGTACTTTTTTGAATGACTTCTTTGGTTTTCTTCTTCGATTTTATATTCCTTTTTGTCTGCTTCGCTAGAGAATCCAGCAATCGATTTTTCTTCACTCTGGTTTGTCTAACTGTTCCTTTTCGTTCTTGAACAGGATGTATTGTCTAGATTTCACAACTCTTATCTTTACGGAGATGTGCCTCTAAGTATCAAGCTTAGGACCGCACTCAGGACTGGGACTTGGAGTCACGTCACGATTTGGGTAACTTCGAAGAATGAACCTCTGTGATTTTGGTTTTTTTGCTTGAAAGCTAGTAGTTCATGCAGCTGCTCTTTCCAGGTAGAGTTTTTCGCTGCTGTGATTTCCGTGACTGCTTACGTACGGCAAACGTAAGTGCTGCGAAAGTTTTGGAATGTGTTTAACTATTTGTGTCTGCTCCTCAGGTATACGGAGGAGACACTAGGATGGTCCCAGTTCTTCAGGCGGGTCTTCTCTTTGTATTTTGCTGCCGACTATGTTCTGAGGATCTTTAGGTAGTTCGTTCGTTCCTTGAAGCAGCATCTTATGCTTGTCGTCTTTCTTTGCAGTGCTCCTGTTCGTCTCTATTACATATTCTCTACTGCCGGAATTATCGATTTGATAAGCTCGCTGCCTATATTTTACATCTGGAGGTATGTAAAATTTTGAGGCCGCAATGTTGTTTAACCTTTTTTAATGGTGGCCACAGCGTCGCAGATAATTACAGCGCAGTTCCGCAAATGCTTCGGGTAATACGTGCGCGAAGGTGCAAGGTTTGCTTTGAAGACAACTCCTGTCAAGGATAATATCGATTTTAATGCACCGTCATCTGGCAGAATACTACCTTACCTGCTTACTTTGGGACTAGTTGGTGGTACAATTGCTCAGCAGATATTTCTTCTTATAATGTACACTCTAGGAACTGGTACGCAAACTCTCGTTTGTTCTTTATCTTGATTCGTCTTCGTGCTTCAGTTTTCATAGCTGCTGGAATATTTCAGTGGGTTGAGTACAAGAATACCCCAGCAGATGTAAAAAGAGAAGCTAACTGTGACGAAGCAGGCTGCTTTACTTTCTATCAAGCTTTTTATTTTCTGATTGTTACGGTGAGTATGCTCTATATTTTTCCAAGTTCCGTTTTCTATTTTGTGCTGTTATAGATAACGACGGTTGGATACGGGGATTTCAGTCCGAAGTCTAACTGGGGACGCTTTGTGGCAATCACCGTGATCTTGGCAGCAGTCCTGATACTGCCCTTGCAAATAAATAATATTCTCCAGCTTGCGTCCCGCAGGTGAGCACCTATGTTTTCCTTATCACTGCTTTAAGATGTCTTTATGCTTTCCTGGTGCAAGACCGTATGGCGGAAAACTTGCGTTGCAAAAAGTTGTTGGGTCGCGGTTTATAATATTGAGTGGCAATGTTTCATTTAATACTGTAGAACATTTTCTCTCTGGCTTTTACCATCCGTGCCATGACAAAGGTCTTTCTGCTCTTCAAGGTTGCTTACGGCATCCATCCTCTTTCGTGATTGCAGATATGACGGCGTTTCCTATACGTGTTGTTATTATGGCACCTTTTAAGCCATCGTATGTTGTTTTTGCCTGACTGCTTGTTGGAAATTGCAATGTTTTCTATTGCAGGTTCGAGTTAAAAACGCTGCTTACGGTGTACAAAGACAACGTTGAGTTCATTGAAGGTGTTCCCACGAAAGAAACTGATCTGGTTCGCGCTGGAGCAAAGCTTGCGTCGGCTTTCTTTTTGTTGGCAGATCATTACGCCAAGGTAAATTGTAGTTGAACAAAATTCTCACTAACATGGATATTTATTTGCAGGATTTTGATGCGGAAGACGCAGCTCAAATGACGCGCTCGTTATCTGTTCACCGTCACTGTGGTCCTATGGCTCGAGTGATTGTTGAACTATTAAAACCAGAGAACTGTAAAAGTGCGCTTTGGGACGAGTTTGAATCGGGTATTGAGGTGCTTTGTCCCGAAGCAATACGTTTTAAGTTGCTTGCAAGAAGGTATATGTCAAGTTTTCTGTCTCAACTGTCACTTTACCATGTAAATGCAGCTGCCATATCCAAGGGTTTTCGACGTTCATCATCAACCTGTTTCGGTCAGGCTTATTTATCAGAAGTCCCAAAGAGGAGCATTGGATGGTGCAGTACTATCGAGGCCTTAAGCATGAAGTCTTCCCGGTCATATTACCACCGTGTCTTCATCGTCAGGAGCTAATGTTTGAAGAGGTTAGCATCGTTTGCCTCGTTTCTGAAGGTTTTCTGATCGTAATATGCTCAGGTGGTGGAAGTGATGTACCTCAAGTATAGAGTGATTCTTTTTGGGCTGGATGTACAGATTGGTGACGGGTCCCGAACAGTGGTGCTGTATCCACGGGGGCGCCTCTTGGATCCCTGTGACGTGGGGCTTGTGATTGCCAGCGATCTTGCAGCAGCGGAGCAAGTTTCTAAGTTTGGGTTACCCGTTCACCAAGCTTGTCCGTATCTTGACTTCTCTCAAGACTTGAAGATCGCCATGGACGACATGGTGTTGCAGCAAGTGAAAAACAGGTGGAAGGAGTTTCGCCGTAACGAAGAGAAGTGGAAGAGCACGAATAACACGTTTGGTAGCTTGAGGGAAGGTCTCAAGAAGAATTTGGCAGCATGGTCTTCGAGGAAAACAACGGTTACTAGTCTCGAAGATGCTATCGAGGCAGCAACAAGGTGGCCACCTCTCAAGCTGGATAAGCCCGATCCTCCGGTGCTAGCAAGGAGGGCTCAAATCATCCAGGCGCACTTGCAGAGCAACACGATGAATGTCGTGAGGCTACCTTCTCCACACATTCTTGTTTGCATCGAAGGAATGTGGCCCGTCAACCTCTTCTACTTTGTTTCCAACTTGAGGATAAACAACGTCATCAACTTGCCGGTAGTTATCCTTCATCCGAACGAGCCGACCGCCGCACAATGGGGATGCGTTGGCCTTTTCTCAGACGTTTATTTCGTCCAAGGAACGGCTCTCTACGAGCTCGATCTTATTCGCGCTGGTGTCCTTCAAGCAGGTACTGAGAATCTAGACCTTTCGTTGTATATGGATATGTTTTTTTGTCAGGCTTTTCTTTTTTTTCTTACGCTTTGACGTTGCAGAGCGAGTGGTCATTCTGACGGAGACGCTCCAGGAGGAATCTATTCAGTCCGATGACTCAGCCTCCATGTCTCAGTCCATCAACATCGCCGACTTAAACAACGTCCGAATTGCAGCGAACGTGGAGCGTTTAATTAGCCCTGCAAGAGGTCGTGTTATTGTCGAGCTGCAGCAAGAAAACCAGATCCAGTTTCTGCGGCCCAAGTTCAACATAGATGCCCGTCTGTTTCACACTGGCATGTACCACCGAGACCACACAGGAAGGTTCCAGTTTGCTCCTCCTTACATCGAAGGGAAAGGCTTTAGTCCTGGAGCACTAACATTTCTTATGTAAGTTCGAGTTCCATTTATGTTTTCTGAGCTGCTGACAGTTAATATTTTCCAGATACGCAACGTTTTTTAATTCCACTGTGATATCTATAGTGGAGCAACTGTCATCTGGATGTCCCATGGACCAATTGGACGAAGGGAGTGCTGAAATCCGACACTTCGAACAAATTGCTGTTCCTAGACACTACCAGGGACAAACTTTCTCGGACCTGTTCCTCGGTTTGCTAGAGCACGAAAGGATGCTCGCGTTGGGACTGTACAGGCCTCTGGGGACGCAGGGATCCGTCGTTTGCTACGTTTCCACCAATCCTGAGCCGTCCTTGAGTTTGGTTGAAGGCGATCTGGTCTATGTCCTCAAGTGATCGTGATCTCAGCCGTCCGTAAGCTCGAAAGAAATTCCTTCATGGAACGTCAACTGGGGGCACCAACGGTTGAGATGGTTTTGCCATTCGTGAAGAATGCGTCCTTTGGAGAGCGGCTCTCACATCTCGTGAAATGGTGAGAGAAGTTGAGATGTCTGGAACCATCGAGCATGTCGACTTTCAGGTACGAAACTCGCTTTCATTTTACCAAACGCATTTCTTTCTCTGTCTTTTGTATTGCAGAAGGCATTTGGCATCTTGTATGGAGACGAAAAGTTCCAAAAGAGATATCACAAAGAAATCAGTAAAGATCCCGGTGCGGTAGTGTCCACTTGGACGAGGGAGGGGCGGCGGGAAGTCAAGTTTGCAGCTCCAGTGAGTGCACCAAAAGTAGTACAGATGCTTCTAGGTAATCGATCAGCACAATGTTTTTTTCGTGACACTGACGAACTTCGCCGTGCTTCCAGGCGCAGACAAGCTGCAAGTGACAGAAATCCAGCAGTATACAAAGCTGGAAGATTCAGTCATCATAAAGTCTGAGCCGATTTTCGACGCTCCTGGTGGAAGCAGCTTTCGGACGTTTGGTAAAGTGATACTGGCGCCTGGTGATACAGATCGAAGCTGCCGCGTCACCATGTTGATATCGTTGGAATGCAAAGCTGGAATGTGGGGAGTACAGGGTACGGTGGTTTTAGTTTACGTGGTGGTGTCTTTGTTAACTGGTGATTTTCTCAGGAACCGTCGAGAGTTACATGGAGACCCATGCAAGGAAATCTTTTACGGGATGGATGCGCATAGCTCGAATCTTTTGTGAGGAGGAGCTCGGGTTGACACAGCGGCAGGAGTTTGGAGACGAGGACGAGTACTACGATTTTGAGGACGTGGGATCGGTCTCGGGGTCAGAGACAGGGAGTAGTTCTGGTAGCCTAGCGGATAGAGACAGGGACGTTGGCTCCAGCAGCGAGGCTCCGTTAGGACTGGACATGTGGTTCGTCCAGTCTGTGTTGAAGGAGCTCAACGGGTTGCAGATATCCGGGGACGCATCGCGGACGCATTTAGAGAAGTTGAATGTCAAGCTCCAAAAGATTGAGGACGAGCTTTCCATCGTCAAGTCCCACTTAGAGCGGCAGAATCGGCGATGGTTACAGGCGACGTGGGGGGTGGTGGCTTTGAGCATTGCAATCGGGTTGATAATCGGTTTCCGACGGCTGTGTGTGCGCACAAACAGGAGGTAGCACTGCTCAGACTCCCATGAATTTGGTTGGCATTTATTCGGAGATGGGAACAGGAAAGGAATCCTATGAGAAGGACTCGAGGAAGACACAGGAGATTATCATCACGTGAGCTTGTCAGAGGATCGTGAGTGGCAGTGGCACTGGAAAATGGAAGGTCACAGCGCCAGGGAAAGCAAAAAAAAGTCCTTTTTTTTCTCCGGTTCTACATCTCTCACTCGGCAAAGACACAAGACGAGAGATCTCACATCACCTGGTCGACGACTTCGTCTCCTCCCGTGTCCATCGGCTCCACGGCAGCTTTGTCACCAGACGCATTGCCAGATTCTTCGGCGACGACCTGGCTTAGAACTTTGCGGCAATGCGAGAAGAGAATTTTTTTGGGATCCAAACCTGGGCCTCGGCTTGCTGGGGCCGTTTCATCGCGTACAAGCTTCGCACAAACTCGTCCTCCATGGACTGGAGATACATGCTGTGCTTCTCGTCCGTCCAGTCGCTCTCCTGGAGTTTTGGAAGTGTTTGCCATCGCATCGGCGCCGCGTTATTGCCAGTCCCAGGGGACAGGACAGGGAAGGGAACTTACACTATCATTTGGCAGCTCGGCTCGATCGCCATTCCTTTCGTCATCATCTTCGGCAGCGTCCACGACGTCTCCCGTGTTTTGGTCGCGAATGCGTGAAGTCGCCGCCAGAGGCTCCGAGTCGTGGAGCTCCTCCTCGATGGTGGAAGAGTGGCTGCTATCCTCTTCTTCCATAGCTCCGCGCTCGATCTTCTCCCTGGAAGAGATAGAGAAGAGACACAAAGAGGGAGAGAGAGAGAGAGATGGTTCTTCTAGCGAGCTCCAACCAAAGGAAGCTTTTTTCTCTCTTTTCAAGAGGAGGGGGCCACGAATGGATGGAGTGAAGAAGAATAATTTGCATGAAGCAAGCGACATCCGTGGCATATGAATCCCACAAATGCTGGTTTCCGTGCTTCCGTGGCCAATGGCATCTGCACACGTGGCCCCTTATTACTCCGCCAGATATTTTTCTGGGCGTCTCGCGCCAAATATAGAAATATCAACGGAACAGCTTTTTTGGTTGCCGGTTCGAATCCATTCAGCGGTTTCCTCTTTCTTTCAGTGTAACTCAGTGTCGTGATAGTTTTGATTTGCAACGCTCTGAAACTGTTCGATTTTGCGAGGAGTTTGCAGAGAGATTATCATTCATCATACTACTAACTCCTCCATATTCGTAAAGTATTGCACCATCAGCTTCCCCTGGACGTCCAGCCAATGCATGTCCCTTATTTTAAATCATTGTCATGTGAAGCTATCAATCATCCCGGCACGACAGCAGTTACTCTATAGAACGAGGTTGATTTTTGCCAGAAAGATTATTTTCCCTTGTGGTTCTCTAACAGAAAATTGGATTATCGCCCTTCTGCTGTTGTTACTAGCAGTCTTTCAAGTGATAAGAACTCCTCAGAATCACCCATCTACAGCTGCTGTGGTGTCTCACACTAAGTCAACTTGCAATTCCGTCATGTTCCATAGGGAGAAAAGGAAGTGCCTGTATTAAGCCTTAAAAGGTAATTAACCCCACTGAGATTGCAAAAGGATTTTGGAATTGTTTTTTATCTAAAATATTATCAATACAATAGAATTAGTGATGGATATGGTTAACCATATCCATCACATAGCAGAGGAGAGGAGGTGCCTTCGTGGCATAAGCTCTAGACTAAGCTCTAGTGGCCAGAACTATTATGTTGTTCCTATTGAGATTATTCTTTGCCCAAAAGTTGCATGTAGGAAAAGTTCTCTCCAAAAACTTTGTTGTAAGCAACAAGCTGAGAGGAGCACGTCAATGCCAAGTAGTAGGGAATAGGATATCCGGATGTCCTCAACAAGGATATTCTCTACTATCTTTGCTGGTTTTCTTTAAAGAAATTTTGGGGGAAGGTAGGCCTGACAAAAAAATGTAATAGCCTACAAGATATATAAATTTAAAATATATGTGTGCTTGATATAAAGGATATGATTGACCAGAAATTAGTATACAACTGGGTGAAATTGTTAGCTCGATTCCCCCAACTGCTGGATATTGTTGCAGCTCCAAGATTAATTATATTGAACTTTGTTGGATCAAGGAAAACAATAATAGAACTTAATATTAAATCTGTATTATTCAAATAGCCATTCAAAAGAATATATTACAAATAAAAATCATGAGATAACCCAAAACTTACAAAAATATATCTATTTTAATATAATTCTCTTAATATTTTAGGCTCCAAGAAATAATTTTATTTATGAAAAAAAAATATTTCTGGTGAAAATATTTATGTGAATTTATATACTTGCATCTTAAAGCATTAGTATAATATATCAACATGATTTTATTTATAAGTTTTTCAATTTTAAGTATTGTTGAAGATGTTGTTTGCCCACCATATGCACCTCCTCCAGGAATTGTAAGATGAATTTATAAGTTCTAATAGTGATTTTATGAAACATCTTGGTATTATTTTCAACACGCTTTTGGATGGCACTAGTATTAAAAATGAAATGAAATAAAATATAAAGAAATCAGTGGTGTTTCAGTATGTAACCAAACCTTATATCGTTTGAATCAATGCCATAGTTGTTTAGAGAATCTACACAAAGAGATTATATTAGTTGCTCCATATTCAAAAGAAGCACAATTATGTAGTGCTAACAATTTATGTTATTTTTGCTATCAAAAATATTCATTTTCCGAAATAGAAATAATAAATTATTTTTGCAATTTTAATTTGGAAGGTTCAAATTCTTTTAATGATATTATTAAAAAGTAAATATTTTAAATAATGTGTTGCACATTGTATATAACAATTTTGGTTTGCTTACTAATAGTACTATTCTTGTTTAGTATCATTATTAATCTCCTTAACCTATAAATAATTCAATTAAGAATTCTAAAACTACTAGAAGAGAAGTTGATTATGAAGACAAATATTCTAGGCATAAACACAAACCACATTTTTCTTCAATAATTTATGCTAAATCTAGTTTATATATAGGAACAAATGGTTTGGATAAAACCAATCCAATGCTAATAACTGTTTTAATTGTACATTTAGACTTTATATCATCTCCTCCTCTTGAAAAGATAGAAGACAATTAAAGTTTTTATGTTGATAGGCCAGGATCTTAAGGAATATTAAGAGGAGGCACAAGTGGATCCATAAGTGGTGCAACTTGTTCTTAATCCTTTTATATGAAATGTTTCAGCTGTTACATATTCATAATTTCTAGAGGATCAAATGTCATACTAAACTTTATAAATTTACAGTTTAATTTGCCAGAACACTTGATATAATCCATTCCACCAAAGAAGCCATTAAGACAAATCACATATTGTAAAATTCGAAAAAAGAACTAATACTAAATCATCTATTTTGTACTCTGCAAGTGGATAATAATGAGAATTGTAACACTATTGTTATCCCATTTGTATGCAGCCTAAGTGTTTAGAGATTTCACTCGAATTAGTGGAAGAATGGTTATTAAATATTAATCCTAAAATGTAATATCAGGAGCTCATAACAATTATGAAGGTAAACTTAACTTTGTTAACAATATAGAATCATGAATATATAAGATTTTTTATGGTAAAGTACCAATTAAAACTTTACACCCCCATGATATACAAATATTAAAAAAATGGTAGATAACCATCCTAATCCAAATACTAAAAGTTCATATATTTTGCAATCATCCCTTAAAGGTCTAAACAAATTATTTTACCAAACCATCTATTTATAGATGATAAACACTTGCTAAAATATGGCATATCTCCAATTGAGATGTCAAAATATAAAATGCATTAACTATAACACAAGACCATTATTTGTTCAGTTCCAACTATATTAATTGCACCAATTGTTACTCCAAAGTCACCAGAGGAGGACCAAGAAGCCACTATAATACTTTGCAATAAATATGAAAAAAAAGAGAGGAAAAGTAAAAGAGAAGAAATAAAAAAGTTATAGAAACAAAAGTGATTTAAACATTGTAAGAGTTAGATCTAAAAAAAAAAACAAATCGAAGCATTCTTCAAGAACAATTAAGATTGCCCCTCATCTTATAGAATATAGAAATATACATATCTAATTAGCCCAAAAACTTTATGTTATATGTAGGAGTGAGTGGTTTAGATTGAAACCAATTTAATAACTATTAAAATCTCACTATGCTAATAAATATATAAAATCATAGTTATACATTTGGACCTAATAATGTTTATAATTATAAATAAAAGATTAATCTAAATGAATAACAACTGCTAAATGGTAGAATATCCCAAAATATCTAAAAACTTATTCTAAGTATAGTTTTCTTAAGGAAACTAAAATAATTTCTTCAACAACACTTGGTTTGCTTTGGAAAACTTTTATTATTAATGATAGCACTTTTACTTATATGACTTATAAAATTATAAATTAATGATTTTAATAATTATATTATTTGAATAATAATATTTATATATAAAATCCTAAGAATAATAATACAATTTATTTTGAACTACATTATTTTATTTTAAGTAAATAAAAATTAAAATAGATGAATTCCAAATATGAAAAAATATTTTATTTAAAGTAGTATTTAAAATATTATTTAATTAATTAATCTATTAAGATCCTAACTCCCTAGTTAGACTATATCAGCTTGTATAGAAGATTTTGGAGCAATCTTGACGTGAAGAATCTTTTCAACAAATTATAAACAATACTATTATCTTATGGAGTATAATAATTTTTTGTGGCAATTTTTCATATATATTGTGATGATGATTATTATCTTTTGTTGTTATGCAATCTTCAACTATATAGTTAATTAGAGCTTTATGCATTACTTATGGATGCAAATTCTTTATGACAGAAGCTCTAGACTAAGCTCTAATGGCTAAAAATATTATATGGTTTCTATTGAAATTATTTTGATTCTACCTAGGAATTATTTGTCTAAAGAGTCAGCTCTAAGGATTATGTTGTAAACCTCAGCCAGGAATTGGAAAGGTAAAGGCCAAAGTCTGGGTATATTAATTTTCCCATCACATTGGTGGGAGAAAGTTAAAAGCCTAAAGCTACTTATATACCTAGCTCATGTTAAAGATAAATTCTTAATGAACCTAGGATGGTAAATAAGGTTGATAAATAATTATATTAATTTTAAACCAATAAATCAAAGAAAGTTGAAGAGAAAATCACAACTATTAGATTAAATAAATATCTTAAAATATGCTTAAATGTTCTAGATATATTCCTTATACCCTTTTCTAAAGTAAACAATCAATAGCCATAAAACTTGAAATAAAATCAAAACTAATAAAAAATATTAACTGATAAAATTTAAACCATTCATAAGAATATTTAAATTATATTGTTTTCCATTTGAAAAATGTGAATAAACAATATGCATCAACTATTGATGAATTATTAGTTGAAACCAAACCATCATACTACAAACAGTTTCATGGTGTGTGGATCTTATTCTAGTTCATACTTAATAATAGTTTTGCAGCCAAACTTATAAACATTGATGTTCAATAAAGCTTATTTCTAAGTATCTATAATTAACATTTATAAGGAATCACTTCTACTCCAGCTACTCCAATTACCAATATTAGCCATTGATCACATTATAAGATTTAATTTTTAACCATAAAATGTAATATTTTAAGGATATTTTTAAACACTCAGCAATAACAAACTTAATAATTTGTTGTGTTGCATGCAACAACACTTCATTTGCTTAATAACAGTGTCATTGAAATTGATCAGTAATTATAAACATGTTTATAATTTATAAATCAAGATTAATTTTATTTCATATTAACCACTAAATGGTAGAATAAAAAAAATATATTAGGAAGTGTTTAGGAAAGTTTATAAATTATAAGTACAAGATTAATCTAAATGAATAACAACCATTAAATGGTAGA